TTCTGCCGTCCGTTAATACAATCGAAACAATGGAGTTTTAGCTAAAGGTGGCGTATGAGTACACCTATTAAAAGAAATGTCATTTCTTGTTCATTCTGTTTTACTTTCCCGTACACATACGTATATACGGAGTAATATGCGCAGTATTAGGGAAGGTTATATAATGCTGCGGAAAATTAACATCGAGATTTAAGCGGAAATACACGCTTTGGGGTCCCCTAATACCGAAAAAGTGGTTCTTTTCAAAACGTCCGTCCGTCTCTCAGTCTCTGAACACCACTAGTGAAACCACACGTGCATTTTTTTTCCAAATGAGATTCCTCGGTCGATCTCGCTCAACTCAAGAAATTTTGAATACCTTAATCTCCAAAATGTGGGCGTACTTTTACATGAAGCTCCCCGGAAAATTTCAAAATTTTCTCTAAAAGGACTCCAATTTGTTGAGTAAATTCGTCTCCCTACAACTACAAAATTGAAGACAGAGACTTTGGTTTAAGCCTAGGCAAAGAGTTGTTCACATACACCTGACGGACGGACGGATACAGACAGACGGACGTGTTGAAGAAAAAAAAAAACAACACTTTATCGGTATCAGGGGATTCCAACATTTGTATTTCCGTTGAAATCTCGAAGTTGATTTTCTGCAGTATTACATAATTTTCCCAATACTACGTATATTACTCCGTACGTATACGGGAAAGTAACAAAACAAACAAACATTGTCTTTTATATCTAAGATTAAAAAACGGTATCTAATTCAGATTAATAAAAATATAATTTTGAAACCAATAATAATCTTAAACGAAGTGTAACTAATTAACAAATGCATGTGGAAGATAAAGTAATCGTTGAAATCGCCGACCTGAATGGCCGTGGTGGCTAAGGACGTGTACCAACTCAGCGCTTCAATCTGAAGCGTCGCGGGGTGGAGTCCCGTCTTGGACATGGTGGTTTGTCCCTTGCCTCTCGCGTATTTTCGCGGATTGCTTCGCGCTCTGCTGACCCTAGTTCACAGGAACCTGCAAAGCGCTAAGTGTCTAGTACATGGTCGAAGGCCGGGTCCAGTCGGGACCCGGCTATCGCCTGGAAAAAGCCCTAGGGGGAAAAATCGTTGAAATCGAGACTATTGGCCCATTGAAGACAGGCGCTTACTGCTTACGGTTTGCGGTTTAGCTTAAATTATTTCTTTGCTTTGCTTTCGCGAAATTTATGTTTCAAATGTGTGTGTGTGTGTGTGTGTGTGTGTGTGTGTTATATATATATAAAACAAATCATTTAAACTAAGTAATTCCAACAATAAAAGTTTCGAATTGGTGTCGGCCGGGGCGACTCACCTTACCCCACCCCACCGTCACACCCTACTACGTCACTGGTTTGCGGTGTACCGACCTTATGAAGTAAAGAACTGTAACCTGTAAGGTAGGCAGGGGATGCACGTGGCCCGGACAGAGCGGGCGGGCGAACCCCAGGAGCCCTCTGTCAGGGGCCCCAAAATGTGACACTTACGTTTAAAAATGGGAGAGGGGAAAATAATATATTATATATAAAGTTATTATTCACGATAAAATAGCCTATTTCTGCACAAAACAAGGTGCAATTACTTTAAGGCACGAGAAATTCACTAGTTATTACTTTATAAAATATTCATTAAAAATTTAGCATTCACACGTCTTTTTCATTGGGGGGGGGGATACAGTGTTTGTTTTGCCTACAGCCCGAAATTAGCGCAGCCACAACATTTTTAGAAAATGATGGCGAACACTTTGTCCCAAATATGCAGACATGCAAGCAAAGTTAGATCTTTTCACTTTTTTGCTATGAAGCTTAATTTAAAAAAACAAGGCATCTAATTCTCAATATATCAGAAACTCATTCTTGAATTGCAGTACAGGCATAACTCAAAATATTGAAGTTTTGAGACAAAGGTGTTTTAAGTTTTTACTGGCATTGAAATGCAGAAATCACATGCTTAATAAACAATGGATTAAGGAAAAAGTAGGACTGTAGCTGGCTTTCAGTTTCAGGAGAGGCAAAGTATTTTTTAGGAAGGATAACACTTTTATTGTTCACATGAATCCTAACCAAAAATATTGAGCAACATTGAAACCAGTATTTTTTCCCTTCCTAGTGAATGTTTAGTTTTTCCATTGCCAATAACATTATGTGCACAATTTTGTTTTTCTTAAAGTCACAATCACAATGTCAATCGACCTAGATAAAGACCTCTTCTATACAAGTAGTATGAACATAAAAATTAAGTATATATGCTTTAAGCACCAGTGATGTTGGCACAGTTAGAACAATACATTTCTTTACTATTTATATATTTGTTCTTCATTATCAAAATATCAATAAATTACCAAGGTACTACTGGGACAGTATATTTTAAGGCAAAGAAATACTCATTTACTCACAAAATCATTACTCACTCAAATATGATGGTCATTTCAAATAATCATACAAATAAATAACAATTGCCCAGCCAGCAAATTATTCATGTAGATGGTGCTGTTTCGATGAAATCAAAAACACTAGGGTTGAAACCAATCATGATTCGTAATATAAGCATTTTTAAGGATTGTACACAAAAATATTATTTGCACTTTATGAGCAAAATTATTGTTTCTTGCTCTTGCCTCGACTTATCAGAGTTAGGAAAACTTCCTCAATCTTGATTGCCCGCAAAAAAATCAATCAATCACACATCTTATCATTTGACGTTAAAGCAAGGAGAAAAAGAGCTTGGGCTCCACAATGTATCCCAATTGGAGACTATTTACAAGCGCTCCAGATCAGAGATATAAGAGGACATAATACCAAACTGTGGAAGGAAAAAGTAAGAGTCATCAATCACAGTTTATCAAACATTGAGCTTTAAACGAGTGGAATGCTCTTCCTGCACGCTGTAGTAACAAGGAGACCTTGAGTACCTTCAAGAATCATCTGGATCATTGCAAAGAAGTCAAATAAATGAACAAATAAGAAATATGCCAACTGTGATTTGGTTTATAGGTGACAACTATGATTTAGATAACATGATAACTGTGATAAATGAAGTAATGTGATAGTGATGTAACCCACTATGATTTGATTTATTGGTAGTAACTTTGATTTGAATAATCTGATAACTGTAATAATGTGATAACTGATGATAAAATTTGATACATTCAATAAAAATCTTGAACCACAAGAAGTTAGCTAAATGGCACACCAGCAATACTCATTTCATTCTGAAGTCCATATCAAACAGGTATTGTTAATATGTAAATTTTATTTAGTTCATGTTTGTTCACAATCTTCAAACCTCCAAATTTCCTTAGTGCTCAGAGACCAAGATAACATCTTCAGTTGGCAAGAAGCCCCAAAGGGAATTCAATTTTTAATGTTACAAATCATAAAACCTACAATTCGTCAGTAAGCTAAATATCGTGTGAATATGTGTTAACACACAAAGGCATCTCCTCCAACTTTTTTTTGGTTTCTTCAATATGAACTAATTACAAAGCAACAAACTTGCCACAGATCCACAGAAACTTCACAACAAATTTGGAATGTCAATTCTCAGTCATAAAGAATATTTTCAAATATAATTGCTTGTAAATGATAAAAATGTTTTGGAGAATTTATCTGACTACATTTATATACCAATTGACCATAAGAACATTCACAACTTAGTCCCCAAAAGTTTGGTTATTTCAGCCCTAGGGTTTAATTGTTTTCCAATTGAAGAAAAAAAATAGTGATCCTAACAAACAAACAAAATCAGACGCAGCACAATTTTGACGCATGCCTTTCAGGCAAGATCAAAGCCGTATGATGGTCGTAACCCTCACTTAACATACTGTAATTGTTTGGTTTGTACTGTCTAATAAAAGACAACCATCATTCCTCATCTAGTATTATTTCTATTCTTCCAGAAACATCCTTGGCAGGCCCAGTAACACATTTAGTGTCACCCACATAAAGGTGCACTGGCTTCACTCAGAGGTAAAACTGTTATGCAGTATTCTAAAAAACTCTTAACAAAACGGTTTTTTCCTCTTAGGGTTTAGCTTCACACTGTATTCTTCATCCTATCTGGCATTACCTCCGTTCTCTACCATCCATCTTGGTTTTGAAATGAAGCTTCCCCCACTCCCTCACCAATTCACTTCTCTCTAGATCACCAGGCCAGGGCCATAACTATTAATAACCCGCTGAGGTAGCCACGGTCCTTCTAAGCTAATTTCCTTCCTTGGTTATCGCCTAGACGCAGCTGTGATCAGTAGATCCTTAGCAAAATGATGGTTAATCATAGGACAAGGAAGGGAATGACTGGGCCATGAACCCGCTTTGTCTACCACAAATTTCACTTGGAACTGCCTGGGGTAGAACTCAGGCACCTGCAGGTGACAAATACATCACACACAACCCTGTGATACAGTTTTCTATGAACAGTATAGGTTATGTTAAGTACACAAATCACTTTAGTGGGCAAACATGCAGCAATCTGCTGGCCATGCTTCAAATGTTTTATGTTTCCCCCAAGGGGATATGGGCTGCAGCCTTACTTGGTGACAAAAAAAGAGAGTTGCTAGAATTTCCAGGAAAGTTGAGTGCAGCAGCAACCTCTTCGCCCTTGAAGGAGACTCAGCTGAGGATGCCAAGGGCATCCAGAAGACGGGGCAAGTGAACCTGCCCCAGGCCCCGATTTAATTGGAGCCCTGATTTTTTTTTCTTTCATTTAAAAGAAATGAAAAAAATATGATCTCCAAAAACCAAATTTAACACTATGTTATTACTGATGCATAGCAAAATGAATTCTGTTAATGAATTGAGGGAAGATGGAATTTTGTTTTGAAATAAGAAGCCCCTGAGGATCAATTGATCCAGGCCCCTGGTGTTTTATGAGAACTCCTGGAGGATGCTGGCAGCCTCAGGCACTCAAAGTGTTAATGCTATATTTTTAAGATATCAATATGCAAAAACTTACTTTAAGATATCCCCTTCAGCCATTTCACTCTGCCCACTGATATTCTTTAAAGGAAGCACTTTTACAGGAGACTGTTTGGCTTTTGTTGCTTCTTGTTCTGCAATCAGAAAGAGTAATGTTTTAAAATGAGGATAGTTCAAATCTTGGGCCCCCCGCCCCCCAAATGTATTGAAATAAATAAATTGACATGATTCAGAACACAGGTTAAATTGTATAAATTTAGCACTTCTTGCCATTTTTGAGTCATTGGAGATACTCCATTGCAATTATCATAGCAATGCAGGGAGGAATTGTGTAACAAACTAGTAATGTCAACTTTTTGATTACATTATAGTACGATTACATTATTGATTACTTTGTATTTTATAAAATATTGAGAGGAACTTTACTTGCAGGTAACTAACGATATATATCAAGCTTCTTAGTGATGGCTCCAAAACATCAAATCAAATGATTTACATAATGCCATTAGTCAGAATTTTTTGGAGTAATTTTGAGGTTCTAGTGACTCACAACTACGAAATGTATCTGATCAGTACCATACGCAGAGTTACTATAATTTTTTGAGGTTTCTTGGCACACTGAAGATGAAATTCTGTGTTTGTCGCAATATGCACATTTTCTCATTTCTGGTAGTATCAATTCTTTGTTAAAACATACTCGCATAAATATGACAAAAATATATTGATACACATGATTGGACATGATTGGAGTATATAAAGTGTGGAATTTGGTTAAAAATTCACAGGTTATCTCATTCCTAATATTCAGGCATACTGAGTTGTTATATGCAAAGGCCCCAATAGAATATGTGTGATTAAGGAGTGTGTATTTGTTCTGGTTTTGAAAGGACCAATGATTCAGAACATGCTATTGTTCTCTTTGCTAGAAAAGTATTTCGCTTTATTGCGTGGCTCCAAGTATCGTCAATCATTAAAAAATGATAACAAGTGCTTATTTTATACGACTTACACTGTTTATTACTTCTGTTTATTTCCAATTTGTTTTATTGGCACATTTATTGAATAAATGAAATTGAAAAGATTTTAATGATAGATTACTTAAGATTGTAGTGAATGGAAATTATGTTCACCCAGTTCTCTTTTTATATATGCTGAAAACAGGATGTCCAATCTATTTGCATTAAGAAATGTTTCAAAATGACTTATGATAAGCATCTGGTTGGCATTAATGTGATGCACTGAGCTCTGCTAATACACTTAAAATTTAACAATTAAATTTTCCTGTATAAACACTTTGTCTCATATTTCAAAGTCAAAGCAGGTGTGCACTATTGCACATTACCCATAAACTCAACATCCCCATAACATTTTCATTTATTTCATAATACATTTTTTATTTATTTTATAAAAAGTTCCTCTACAAGCAGTGACACTCTGGTTCAAAATAAGCGTAGTGGTACTACGGAATAGCACAGACTTTCCCCTATGACTTAGTTTCTTATCTCTTTAATCTTTTCATCTTTTCGGTTTTGCCCCACCCTCTTCTCAGCCGCCCCTAAAGCACGTGTTTGTTTGTTGCCTCAATTTTTTCAGATCACTGATAGCAAAATTGAAATATGACTTTAATAACATTAGAGAAGAGTAAAAAGCGGCCCTTAGTGTACTTTTTCATTGAAAACTTTGGAGCCATTTTGAAGAAAATGTCATTTAAGCGTTTCTGAAAAAAACATTTTGAAGCTTACTTGCACCTAAAACATTGGCGTTTTCGAGAAACTTTATTGGAAACTAATTGAAGCAATTGTACTCACAAATCCAATAGTGTATAAGAAATGTTCATAATTTAAATATGATAAGAGTTTTAAAAAAAAATGTTTGTGTATTTTTGAAAAACAAAAGATAACATCAAAGTTGTTTTTGTGATGTGTTCATCAGTGGATTTAGCATTACCAGCATACAAAATTTAAAGAAAAAATATAATATAATTTAAAGCGCTTGTACCCGCAAATGCAATAATGTATACAAATTGCCAGTTATGCAAATATTAATGACATGAGGAAGATATCCACATAGTTTTTGGAAAAAAATCCAAAATAATACAGAGATATGTTACAACTATAGTTTATCTCATCTGTTACAGTGCTTTTAGCACAACTTGTTTTTAGCACAATAAGTTTCAAGAAAAAATTGGAAGCTATTTTTTAGAAAATCTTGTTTATAATATTGCCCATATTCTACCTAAAACTATTCAAAATTACAAAAAGTTAAAAAAAACAACAGGATGTTAATTCAAGAACTAATGGTGAAAACAAATTTCATTAGAAGAAAAAAACACTATTTCAATGTTGTAGTTGTGGGATGATGCCAATAAAATTCAGACTTTCGTAATTTTTGAAAATTCAGACTTAACAGTAAAAATATGAACTATGCCTACAAATCTTCTTTTTTTTTATTTATATTTTTTTCATATTATCAGTTATAGATATGCTACCAAAGAAGATTTTTAAAATACTTCATCAAATACAACAGCAGGTCAAATACAACAATAGAAGGAAGTTTTCCTTAATTGATTTAGATTTGTGGGTTGTTTAATTTTGTATGGGAGCTGACAACTAAAAATTACAATAATAAGTTGCATGCATTAAGTAATATGAAAAATCATATTAATGGAAATCTTAAAATGAAAGAAAAACAACTCTCACTGCATTTCGTTGTTATGAAATATAAACAATATACTTGTAATTCATTATTAAAATGAGTGTTTAATTTTCATGTGTTACCCCCGGTAAGAATTATCTTATTGTTGTTGTAATGAAAATGTTTGTTCTAAACTTCATTGTGTCTGCACCAGAACTTTTAATGAATAAAACTTCTTGCGCTACAAAATTTGTGTTCTTTCAAAAGTGCTTGCATTTACACTCTAAGTTTCAAATCCCACAAATGGAGTTATGAAATCAAAGCCCATTGTAAAGAAAATCCTATACAACTGTCAGTCTACAACCTTGAGCTACGCCACCCAACTTTTCCTGTAAACATATACGATACACAGCTCCTTTGGCTTTATACATTAGAGAGAAAAGGGAGAAATTACAAAGAAAAAGATAAAAGAAGAACTCTAGTTGTAAAGAAACATGGCAGCAGAGCACAGAAAGAAAGTTATTGATGAATATACTATTGAGCTCCTCTGAACAGGAAGTAGGATAATGTAAAAACACAACACAGTTAATGGTATTCAAGGAATTAAAGAAAAGTATAATGGTTTTCCAAACAACTGATAAAAGATTTTGTAAAATTAGAATTACAAAAATAGAATATTTGCATCATGAATGTCCTTGCTCTACAGAGATAACAAAAGAGTAATATTTCACAAAAACTTTCATGAAAGTTAACAAACATAACAAGTTAGCGGTCATGTTTTCACGTATTTCTCGTTTCATTTAGCCTACCACTTCCCTACACATTTGAAGCTGGTAACTCTGTATTGGTAGAATGCATAGCTTACAATGGGTTAAATGTAATTTCAGCACATTGTATATATATTAATTTAACTAATAAATGCTCCAACTAAATGAAGACATTATTAAAGAAAAGTACTGCAATAAATTGTAATTTAAATACATTATTATTAATAACTTTTTCATTGATATAATACAGATGGTTTGCAGTCCTAAAATCTCATTCATTCAGAAAACAAAACTTTTTCTAATGGTTAAATTCTGTTTGAAATAATTAACATTATTTATTGAGGAAAATACCTTTGATTATTACGCAAACACAGAGTTATTTTTGGGGAAAAAAAACACAATATAATGGCTAAACATCTTTTCGTCCTCAATAAAATAAAGAATACATTATTTTACAATATGCAATTTTAAATTGTACTGAAGTGGGTCACACAAACTACAGCTACATCAAAGCCCATGACAGATATAGCTAAAATGAGAAAATGACAAATGAGAAGCCCTTGAAGCCATGTCACACACAGCCAAGAACCAATGAGTCAAATGCAGTCACAATTCAACAAAAAATAACAAGTGAAAGTGGTCAAGAACAGGAATAATTGGAAGATGATGCTGTTGGCCAAGACTGAAGAGACTAAAAAAAGAGGAAATCCAACTCCAATTAAGGACCAAATTTTGGCTTATCCATGATCTGGATATTGCATATTTTGAGATGTTCATAATGAAATTTACCTAAAAAGTTCTAACAAAACTGCATTAACATAACTTCCTGCAGAATTAAGAAAATTATAATATGAAATATATATTTTATATAACAGTAATATTAATGATTGTTTTGTACACGCTGTGATCCTTAACATTTGCTTCTTGGGACAGAATACATATTAAAATGAAGCTCGGAAAACAGATAGTAACTTATCCAATATTACTGACTTACTCAGATATGAACTACAACAATGAAATGTAAAAAAAATTATTGAGGATATCCATTTCTGAAAAAGTTATAAACAGAATAATAATTAAAATAAAAATATGGTAGGATGATTTGAAAGAAAAAAACAAACTTTTCTTCCATTCATAAACGAATTGTTTTGATGACTGTATGAGCTAATATGCAAGATATTACAGCTTTCTTTTTTATTACAGGTAATAAAATACATGGACAGGGTCAATGGGAATTAGATGTAGCTGCAGGGCATATGGGAATTAGATGTAGCCACAGGGCCTGAGTGAATTATTGGTATTGCAATTATGACTTTTTACAAGTTTCAAATAATCAATATTTTGAAAATTATTACATTTTTATCTTCAGACACTTGGAATTAAGTTAAAATTTACATATCTGTAATTTTATTTAGCCTTCTTCTCTACACAATATTTAGAGTTATAGTTAGAGATATTTCTGTATTGGTAGAATGTAAGGCTTTTAATATGCTAGAAACTAAGGTGATTGCAATTATACCTATATATTTTTGAAACCTATGTAATAAATTGTAATAAAAGTAGTAGTTAATTAGTTATTAATTAATTTCAACAACTGTCCACGTTTTTGATTGTCTATAATAAAAAAAGGAGATGGAAATATTTTACACTTAGCTTCCACTCACACTATCCAGGTAGGTTTACAACAACACAAAAATCTATGAACTGGGGATCAAGAACATTAACTACTGTCAAGACAATATATGAATAAATTACACAATAAAACCGTATTTCAAAAATGGTATTAACTTTTCCTGCAGCAAACATTACTTATCAAATAAAAAGTCATATTAGTCAGTCACTTCACTTTACATAGGATAGCTTGCTGATTCTTGTGTGTGATACGGCAAAAGAAATTTAAAAAAGATTAAAGCAAGATAACACAAAATTCATACATGTGGCAAAGATTGAACATTGGGTTTACATAGACAATCAAGAGAAATCATTAAATTTGACATATCAATTGATTTTCATGGTTATCTTATAAAATAATAGCTTAATGTAACAACATTTTAGTAAAAATCCAAAGTGTGTCTTCAACAACTCACTGCCTAGTTAAAATAGACTCAAATTCAACTGAAAATACCCACATAAGTAACTAACTAGCGGTATTGAAAAAATCGTTATTAAGGAATAATACAGTGAATAATATGCAAGTGAATATAACACTCTAAAGCTCTGAACTACCTCAATATTGTTAACAGAATTTTTTAACATAACTAACAAAATAAGATTATTTGGCATCAAGAATGACATTTAGAAAGGTCATTTGTTTGCGAAATAAGATCATTTATACATATTTATTCTTTAAAAAATATTTAATTAGATAAAATATTGTTACACATCTTTAATAACATAAAAATTCAAATAGTAATAGTAACATAAAAACTACTTTTAAATCTATAAAAAATAAATAACAAACCCTACAATGTTAATACATACGTCAAAAAAATTAATTAACTACTACTGTAATTTGAATGGGCAAGCTAAATCGGGCAGGTGGCATACAATGTTCTTAATTTTCTCCACATACACATTCTTTTCTTTCCACGAGGTCTCCCTAATATATTGTCAACATGAATACAACAAATCAAAAATACAAGTGTAATCAATGTTACATTAAAATTTGGTCAAATATTATCATCAAATGTTTAACAACACAGATTCAAGGAAACTTGGTATTGTACACTAAACAATACAGTGTGATCATGCACTGGTACTTTCAATTAGTGTTGTTCACAAGCAAAAAGCAAGGGTAACCACCGTCTCCACTAATTTTAGCAACAGAATTCAACAAATAGCACAAAGATAAGAGTGTCACCCACTTCTCTTCGCACCACGAAAATGCCAAACAGTTGCTTTTAATTTAAAGAAACAATCATCAAAACTGTGTAATTACCTTCTACAGAAGGAGAATCATTTGCTTCACCCCTATCCATTGCAATAACAACCACTACCAACACATTCAATGAAACTGTTGTATGAAAGACACACCTAGAACACTTTATAAGTTCCCAAAACAGATATCATTTTTACATATTACAATTAAAACATTACGAATGTTGTAAACATAACCTCACAAAATCAATACGTCACGTCAAAAGATACTCCTTAATCTCGCCCAAAAAATAATAAGCAGTATCTTTCACAGCACTTGTTAAAACCACAGTTCCTTGGCCGGCATTGAAAAGATTTTATCGGAAGAATTCTAAACTAACCCCATACACTGATATTGCACTTCACATTGAACACGGCCATCGGTGTACATAGCAGTTAACATCAGTTAACATGTCTTTTGTTCCACGCCCACCACCAATCTACCAAGCTGGTGGTGACTGGTGACTTCTCTTTCCTAGCTCAGGAGGAGCACTCGAAAACAGAGATATGACGTTCGGCCGGATCTGCTGCATGACAGTATCTATTTAACAGCATATCTTAATGTAAACAAAAACTATAATCTCCGTCATATACAGAACAATACGAAGCCAATAACATCTCTTCCAATAACTTCGCTGTTCAACATATTCCGTGAAGGGTTACAACCTGTTGAATCAACCTCCCAATTCCTCCCCTCTTATCCACATTTATTCGCGTTATTCACATGATGTGCTCAGCTGATCTTCAAAAGACTTCAACTATACTGCCCTCTAACAAGTGTACCAGATACTACATTCTAAATTTTACGCACACCTCTAGTGAGCCAGTGCCATCTGCGGTTCAAGACATGCTCTTTGAAATTGATAATGATATGCGAAGGCCTATTGTGGAACCATAGTGCAAATTACACCATGTAAACCATGTGGTTATTTCCACCATGTGTGGATCCGCACGGTCCTGGATTATTCACACTGTGGTTTGGTTAAGTGCTGTTCTTGAAGCGTGTTTCTTCGGACTTCCAACATAAGTGTGACGAGTGCAGCGACTTTGAAGTTTAAATATTCTATTTTACAATTTGTTTGTTTCTTTAATTTCACTAATAATTTATTCTGTTATTTGTACAAGAAACTATTAACTATTAATATGATAAGGTGTGATTACTGATTATAATTAATTTTCATATCTCTATAAATTATTATATTATGTCTCATTTACACTTATTAAATATGTTTTCATTTCGCAGATGGTAAGAACGCGTTGCGTCAACGCCACCTAGATATACATGATATATCTAGGTGGTGTTGGTTGCGTGCCTGGCTGTACGTCTTATTACAAAAGACGCAGAAAAAAGGGAGCACCATTTGTGGCAACGTTCGCTTTTCCTAGGGAAAGAAGAATGCGCCCTTCTTGTTTTTTTTTAACTCTATTTCTTTTTCTTATTTTTGTTCGCTTTGCAAAACGTATTTTAGACTTTCTTGCGCATTGAATGTACCTATGTGGAGTAATCCTCCATTTATTTATTTTGCCTTTTCGTCATGTCAAGTCGCAGTCGGTCAGTGCCTTTCATTAATGCGGCCAGGGCTCCACGCTAAGAGTAACCGGAGTTCCCAGACGGTCAACCGTTCAGGAATCCGTGGTGTCTCGAATTGTTTAACTTCCATGTCTTTACGGAGCGCAGTTCAGCAATTGGGCTAAACGATATTGGGAAGGGCCCTCAATAACGAAGAGAAGATTGTCTCCATTGAAAAACAATCTTTTAAGAAATTCTTATATGGTGATATTTCAGATTATGAAATATTAGTGGAACCCGACAAAGGTTGTTCTGCCCATCTCCCTCTCTATCTCTCTCATCCTCCGTCTGTTCTTCTTCCTCTCGTTTTTGCTGTACCTCTCTGTCCCTCCCATACACATTTAGTTGCACGTCTCTAAGCAGGTGGGGTAATATAGAGATGCGTTGGACAAGCAAAAACGTAATGGAATGTTCATGAAGACCCCATCCTGCAGTTTACTATGTGATAAATGTTTTTGAGGTCTTTCGCTCCAAAATTTTAGTTTTTAATGCACTAGAGCGCGTTTCCTTAAGAGTTATTTGACGAAATAGAGTAAAAACTCTTGTCGTGTGTTGCGGGTTGCATTTGATTTTTTCCCCTCGTGTATTTTTCCGTTATTTTGCTATTAGGGGCGGAGATGAATGCAACAAATCAGAGACTATTAAAATTGGTCCAGCCGTTCTTGAGGTATAAATGGTGTAAATAGGGGCGGTTCTTTATAATGTGCCCTGGTTCACGCAACACCCAAGAAATTGAACAAAATGGAATATACACTTCTTTATTATTGCCTAATTAATACCATTACCTTTTTCTGCTCCTCTTATTATAATTTCCATATCAATATTACTTTGACAAACCGATGTGACTACGTTGCCGTTCACGTTTTCGAAACACCTGACGCTTCTGAGTTTTCATAGCGCGCTTTCATCGGATAATGTTCACACTTCCGCCGTGAACTCCGCTTGGCGCAGCACTTCTCAGACCTTGTCGTCACCCAACTCCGAGACGATGTCTACGTCGCATCGTCAAAAAAGTGTCCTCGATACGATACTCTCAAGTTTTGCATCTGATGTGGAAGGTGAGGGGTGTCTTAAAATCAGTGTGGAAATGTGTTTTACTTCTCGGGTTCGAATAATGCTTTAGTTTTAGTGTTCGTGCATCCTGGAGTTCAATTATTTCAAGAAACTTAGACCGGATCTGCGTTTTCTGAAATTTGAAACAACTGTGAAATCAGCAAAACAAGAGTTTCGTCGACGATTCAATGCTTCGACTTACAAGTGACTACCTGAGTGTGATGGAAAATGCAGAATTTGTTTTCCTTACATCTTTTTTAGGAGAAAAATGGAAGAAAATGTGTGGACGAAGGTCGGTTATAATGATATGAACCATTTGAGTGAGAAACTTAAAAAAAACACCAAGAGACACATCTCCATAAAAACAATAATGCTCAACTGGCTTTACTTGAATATTGTGATTTGGATTAGGGACAGTTATCGTCTCACTGTAAAACAACGACGATAAAGTGCGTGAGAACAGACATATCCTGGACACTTATAAACTGTGTCAAATTTAGTGGTGCGCAAGCGCAGCTTGCGTTGTGCGAGTACGACGAAAGTGAACAATCGGAAAACCATATAATATTTCGAGGGTTAGTGAATTTTCTTAGTACCATTGACGGTGCTTCAATAATCAACGTCAAATTCAGTACACAACACTGATACAAGGAATGTACAAGAGAAGCGAATCTAGAAATCGGTATTACTCGCACAACTTTTCTTGAAAGATGGATTGAAAAAATGCGTGATGAGTGTGGATATTAGTTACGAAATCAGCCGCTAGATGGAGAAATTCCAATCTTTTGATAATCAGTGATACATTCGTGACTTTCTCAATAATTTGCGTTGTAACTTTCTCAGGAGTTCGAGGATGGATATAGGAGTTCCTGTGATGGATACTCACCTGTTTCGGTCATTCTTTACATTTTTTTGAGAAAATTACGGACACAAGTTCTCGTCTTTAACTAAAAATAGTTTACATTCCGCACCAGTGAAGATGTGTTTGGAATGCTGTCAGTGCTTGCTGCGAGCTTTTGCCTTTAACTGTTTGTTGTGCCAGAGAGGAGGAAGCAAGGTCATCGTCAAGAGAAGCTGCGCGAGTAATACCATTATTTAAAAATTACTGCAAAATGAAATGTCGGAAGAATTTTTTTCCAGAAGTCTACAAACGTCTTTGAATTATTCTCGCTACTCTAATGACTTCTTCAGAAGCTGAAAGATCATTTTCGAACAGGAAGTGGATAAAAACATTCCATAATGACAACCGAGCGATCGTGCACCGTTACAATCCTGTCAAATACGAGTAGAGAAGCAACTGATCCTTGAAACTAGAAACTTCAATGAATTAGTGATGGAGAAATTTGTTCATCTGAAAAATCGGCGATTGGATTTTCAATTCAAGTAAACAAGGAACGATTACAATTTCCTCATTTCTGGATAGACTGGTAAAACTGATAATAAATGTCTCGTTACCAATGTTGCCTCATTAAACTATTGCAAAATGGAGTCTTACGTTCAGAAGAGTCAAGTTCAAAAGCAATAAATGAGACATTGCAGCATTATTTTTCAAGATTGGTTATTAACATTATGAGTATTAATTTTCTTCACAAATTCTCTGGTCAGATCGCAACAGTCAATAGCTTAGTAATATCGGGCTCCTTCACCGCGCAGATGCAGTTGCCCAACATCCACTGATCAGCCGTTGCGTTCATTGATAGGAATATGATGTGTCGCGTGGGCCGACCTGTCGCCGGCAGCGGATGTGGCGCTGACCTCAGCTAGATTTCGGAGCGGCAGCGCGCCTTGCGCTCAAAGCGCGTTGTCACACGTGGTCAAGCGCGGGTCCAGGGGGATCACGGGGTCATGACCCCCCTCCTCCAGAATGATGGACCCAATTTTTTGTGTGGAGTTTTTGAGAGAACATCTCGCTCAAACCACCTTACACTATATTTTTGATACAAAGAAATACGTCTGTTCCGTACACTTCACAACGCTCTCACTGGCGGGTCGTCTCTTCCTCCCTCGGAGACTGGTTGCTTCCGCCGCCCCCACAGGTGGTCACCCGCACCGCCGGCCTCCCCGGCTCCGGCGGCCACCCACGCGTTCCCCGAAGTGCCCCCAGCCGGCACACACACGTCCCCGGGTCAGACTTGCGAGCAGAACCACCGCGAGAGGCGCAATGGCCACACCGCCAGCCCCGCGCCTTCTCGTTGAGCAGTCTCCGCGCTCATGTTGATATTTCATATTTTAACCTGACACCGCTGCCCTCGGCTTGTAGATCGTTAAGTGCGATACCTTGCCTTCGACGAGCAGCTACTGAACGGGTTGTCGCCGAAAGAAGTCGCAGTGACTCTGCCTTCGGCGGGAACTACATCGCGCTACGTGCAGGCCTTATTCACACCAGTGGAGAGAGAACGCGTGTGCCGCAAGCACACTACTGCTGCCAGGGTCCGAACTAGGGCCAGTTCTGTGGTCAAGCTGCGGGCGACAGACGCTCCCCGTAACCAGCGAACTGTGTGAGACGCCTGCATTCCCTCTTCGCGCGGGAGAGGGAATGTCCATGCATGCCGCAGCGATTCATGCATGGACATTCCCTCTCCATGCATGCCGCAGCGATTCAGTACCAGGTATTCGGCAACGCCATGTGCCCATTGAAGTGTGGTGTATGGCTCGACAACCTTCACAGTGACAAGTCAATAATTGAAGTAATGTACGGTCAGCCATTTTGTATAATTCAGTTCCTTTTTGTATAATCACTATATTTATTTTCTTTCACGCTTACTTCATCCCATCATTTAAAGTAGAGTAGAAATTTCCTTATAATAGTTGGTGCAATGCAATTAAATCAATTTTTGTCAACCTCTGCTTCCTCAATCAGCGCCATCCCTCTCCCTCGGGCACCTCTCGGCCCGGCACGGCGTAAAGTGACCTTGTAGAGAGAAAGGCCTTTCAGTCCGCTCAAGCAACCCCCTTTTTTCAGGTATTCTGCCCTTTCTCTGCACAATATCTAAACAAGTAAGAATCAAATACACTCTGAGTTACAAGTGTTGCCAACTCAGTGTGATTATTTGTCACTATTTGAACGAGACACTTGTTATAAAAATGCTGCAACATATGGACTCAGCTTAAGTCGAAATGTACCGACACTAGTTCAATTTGTCGCCACCACGTACCAGCACCAAAATATGCCAAAATTAACTTACTAATAACATCGGAACAAGA